TGTGGAGGGCTTCACGTGCCGCTGGTATAGGTTGGATTCTTCCTGCTCTGAGATCTCTTAACCCTGACTCCCTTCAAGCCGCAGCTGGGGTGACTGAGATAAGAGCCTTTGTTCTAAGGACTGCCCTGAGACCCAGGCCAGGGAACTACAGATCCCAGCTCTGTGTAAGGTTGTATATGACCATAACTATTAGTAGTCGTATTAGCAGGAGGGGGCATTTTTCCCTTTGAAAATCCTTACCCCCACCAGGATGCTGGCCTTTGGTGGGGAGTTGGAAACTGGATCGAGATGGGCTTCACAGCCAGGTATTGGTTTTACCTTCACAATCCCTCCTGGCCCCATGTTCTCCCATGCCCTGTTATATCACTGTTCGCACCCCCTGCTTATACCACCCTCACCAACCCCACCTCCATTTAACCCATGGTTCTCCGGGAAGACATCTCACTGCCCTGTGCTTAGACATTAGTGATTTAGAGGTAGCAGGGAGTTAGCAATCACCAGGTTTAACCTGTCACCTGACCAAGAAGAAAACGGAGGCCCAGGAGACCTTGTTCAAGGAGAGGCTCAGAGCCTGGGTTAGGATCCAGCTCTGTGACTTTCCTTGTTTTACAGGATACTTTACATTTTCATTTCACTCCCACCCCCATGCTACAGACAGGCATGATTAACTGCATTGCATAGTGGAGTTTCACAGACAAGTGACTGGGTGAAGCCAGGTCTCAAAATCCAGCTCCGGTCGAACACTTTCCTTCCAGGGGTGCCACTGGGTGACCAACTCGTTCCTTTTTGCCTGGGACTTTCCTGGTTTAACACTGAAAGTCCCAAGTCTCTAGGATCTGTTGGGTCCTGGGCAAGCCAGATCGGCCACTCTAACTTCAGCACAGTGACGTCAAAAGGGGATGGGGTGAGCTAGGGGACTGGTATCCTTGCAGGGCCACCACGGGTCCCCAGTTGCCTGTCCTTCTGGGCTCGGCTCCCTCCGAGGGGGCTGTGTATTGTTGTCCCTGTGACTTGATGACGCTGACCAGACCCTCCCCTGTATTGACAGAGAGGCTGTACGGAAACACACCAGTCTGTCTCCACCTCTTACTAGTCATGAGACCGGGGCAAGTTGCCACACCCTTCAGTGCTTCAGTATTCCTGTCACTAAAGTGGGGACAGTCGTGTACCTGCCTCCTGGGACTGCTATATGGATTAGAGGTGTGAAGTGCTTGGTGAAGCATGAGTGCTCTCCAAACGCCGGTTGCCACCATCTGGGCATTGGTTCCTCAGCCTTCCCCGAGGCCACTTTTTCTAAGACACACCAAGGAATATACTCACGTGCACAATCACAGGGCTTTTTTTGTGTCCCAGCCTGTAGAACAGGAGCTCAGTGTTACCATTTGGAGGTGACAGCCTGGTAGTTGGCTGTGGCCCCTAGAAACCAAAAATCCTTATGGTCTATGCCTGCGAAGGGGACAGTAGGACTCAGTTCCTGGGGAGTATCTGTGCTTCCACTGACAGAGGCATAAGGAGGCGTCCCCAGCTCTTATGGTGAGTGTCTCTGTGTCTCTGGAGCTAAATGGAGCCAGGCTGGGAGGGAATTACTCATCCTGTAATTGGATTCTTGGAGGCGTAGAGAGTATGACTTGTCCCCCTTTTCCCCGTGGAGGAAGATTATATTAATATGCAGATTCCTGGGCCTTCAACCCATTTCCCCTCCTCCTGATGCAGCCAGTCGGGGGTGAAGCCCAGGAGTATGCCTACCGGAAGTCCTCCTGGAGGGTGTGAGCAGGGTACTCGCTGGGGCACTGGTCCTTGGCGTGTGATGCAGAGGAGATAGTGTGCTTTGTTTTCTCCGTGGCTTTTCTCAAATCTTGTCCCCAACCTTCAGCAAGTCCCCGGGCCCCTTCTGGATCCTTTTGGAGAGAAAGTGCTGACCTGGGTGTCCTGCCCAGGTGGGCAGGGGTAGAGTCGCTCCCTCAGGATGCCAGCTGCCAAGGCAGTGACCCTCAGTGGATGGGTTGGGCAGTGCCTGCAGACTCATGTCTCATCCTGGGTTCTTTTGGCCCCTTTCCCTTGATACGGCCTTGACCTCAGCCGAGAGAGCACACCGAGAGGTTATCTGGAGAAGGCCAGCACTTCCTTCGTGGAGGGGGTCTAGGGGAGGGGTTTGTCCTCACTCTGCCCGGTACCCGGCCGTACCCCATAGACGGTGGGGCTCCCCTCCTCCCTGTAAAAGCACACAACGCCCTGTTGGCTTTTGTGGCCTAGGAGCCGGGCTAGTTCACATGGCACCGGGCGTCACGCAGGGCTGGGGCAGCACCGAGGGACCATGGCGGTGGCAAAGGCTCCTGGCCTCGAGGTTCGGACCCCACATGGTCCAAGCGTTTTAAAGGCCTTGTATTAGAAAAATAAGCCAATTAAAGAATACTGCCCCCCATAAAAGCAGACTTTTAATGGATTCCACGGTGGGGTTTTCACCGTGGCGGTCCCGCCGCCGCAGGCTCGATGGGCCCGTCTGCCGCCACGGGGAGAATTTAATCTTGCCCGACCTGGCATAATTTTACAAGTTTTATGGCTGTTTTTACTCCTCCGAAGTGTTGCTATGTCATTGTGCATCGAGGGCAACTTGCGTGCGTTTAACAGTTTACCTCCTTTTGGTGGAAATGAAAAATGAAGTAATAAATGAAAGAAAAACACAACGTAGGTTTTTCCCCCTCTTCTTGGGGCGACCGTGGAGGGACAAAGAGCCAGTGTTTCTCTGTGGAGCTAATCAGGCTCGAATGGCTTTTATGTATTGACATTGCCTGCAGACCCCTCTTCCCCAGGGAAGAATGTACCGCTGACCCAGGAGTACCTGGGGCCATTTTCCAGGGCAGGGGTTGGCCAGTGACAGCCCGAGGGTCTGGCCCATTGCCTATTTTTGTTACCAGGTGGAAAAAGCTCAAAAGAAGATTTCCTGACATGGGAAGGTTAGATGACGTTCAGATTTCCCTGTCTGTGCTGAAGCTGGGCGGTCACCAGCCACGCCTGCTCACTTTTGCATTGCTGGCGGCTTTGAGAGACTCCCCATGGTGCGAAGGTTTGCTGACCCCTGCCCTGGGAAGTCAAGCACAAGGAGAGAGAAAACTTGCCTCGGTTTGCTGGAATTGAGGATTGACTGCAAAGGGACAGATCAAAGGAGACTCACCTGGGCAGGTGCTCATTCACCTGGAGACCTCCCAGAAGTCATCAACTGCTCGCAGATGACTTTCCTCACTCAGATTGACCTCAGAGCCGAGGGTTCTGGGTAAACCCATCCAGCCAGCCCTCCTGGGCCGCGTGAGGCCCAGTGACTCAGTGTCACCCCTTGCCAGCTTGTGAATAGAGCCTCTCCCCTTCCCTCCTAGGAACAAGCAACTCGTGTCATATGTTGTCACGTGCAAACCTAGTTGACAATCTTAGACTTTTTTTTTTCAATTTATTGTAGAGAAGAGGTCTCGCCAAGGCACCTGGGTGGGTCTCGAACCCGCGGGCTCGGGCAGTCCACTTTCCTCAGCCTCCCAAAGTGCTGGGATGACAGGCTGAACCACCGAGCCCGGCCAATCTTCAGACATTTATGACCAACAACAAAAAAGATCACAGCAGCGTTCATTCTGTATAAAACTAGGAACAGCCTAAATTTCCGTCAGTCAGGTACTAGTAAGATAGAAAATCCTAGTAACCCAACATAACTTTATAAAAGGGGAGGGTGAGGTCTGCCTACCTAGAGCGGTGGCAGCACTGGACACTGCCTGGCACAGAGTATGTGCTCAGTAAGTATTTGTTGAGTGAGTGAGTCTTTTTTTTTTTTTTTTTGGAAAACAGTGTCTGATATAATACGTTGAAACATCAGGAGCTAGAACCTGATCCTGTTTCTTTAAAACAGAGGCAAGTTGTCTGTCTACTCTAACCAACACGTCTTACGTTTTACGCCTTTGGCTTCTGGTAGTCGTGACTCTTTATCCTCACACCCCGACCGGAGCTACCCTTCTTGCCCCCATTTCACAGATGAAGAAGCAGAGGCACAGAGAGGTTAGGTGACTTGCTTGAAGTCCCACAGCTGGCATGTGATCGGGCCAGGATTCAGACCCAGGGAGCCTGCTCCGGGAACATTCTACTGTCTGCTCTGTCTCCACTGTGGAGTGGGTGAATGTGAATGATCCGAGTTTATGAAGGGGCCTGTCTTCCTTGTTGCACTCATCCCCGTTTACGTTGGGCCCTGAGAAAACTTCCTCTGACATGACAAGACAGCACCTGTTCACTCATTCCTTCCCTTCCTCCCTCCTTCCCTCCCTCTCTTTTTCTCTCCCCTCTACCTCCCTCCTCCCTCTTCCCTTCAACAAACAGTTGTCTAGCCCCTGACTGTGTGTTCGACCTGGAGCGAGGATATTTCTGTGAACAAGAAGGATGAAAGAAATAAGGCCTCCATTTCCCTTTGAAAAGTCGTTCTTGGAGGCCCCAGTGCTGGTGGGTTTTGAGGTGTTCGCTCAACTCCCCCTCTCCTACTCATCGTCAGCACCATTGCTGTCTGTCCAGAATCATAAACTTGCATCCTTCCTGCCTCAAGCCAGTGTATTTCAGTTAAGGATTGAGGTGACTGGGCCTCAATCCTTGGAGGCTTGGAGGTGACCGGGCCTCTGAGGAGCCTCCTGGGGACGGACCCGCACGTTCTCAGGAGACCGAGTTCCAGGGACAGGACGAGGAGGCCGTCGGTTGTGGGGTCTGCAGAATCCAAAAGCGTGTGGCTGAGCCTGGCGCTCGGCAGTGGTGGCTGTCCAGGAACAGCCTTTTGCTGTCTTTTGTAAGTGGCTTCATTTCAGTGGCTGTAGATGCTTGTCTTGTTTCCTTAAAAGCTTGCTGGAAGACTGCCGTGTGATTTCATTCGTTCTGGGTGGGGAGGTGCTGCGTGCGGAAAGACAGACATGGCAGCTGTGCCACAGGGCACAGGGATAGAGCGTCAGTCGTGCGTTGCTGGAAGCCACAGGGCACAGGGACAGAGTGGCGGTCTTGTATTGCTGGAAGTGGCTTTGTCTTCCTTTCCCTCGCTTTCTCCTCCCCCTGTGCCGGCCTCTCTGTCCAACCTTTGCCACTGGTTTCTGATGAGCCTTCACTTTCTCTCCTCAGTCATGCGGAGGAATCCCTTCGGCGTGGACATCTGCTGCCGGAAGGGGTCCCGAAGTCCCCTGCAGGAGCTCTATAACCCCATCCAGGTAAGCCTCGACTCTCGGTCAGCATGTGTCACTGTGAGGGGGCGGGCGGCAAGGGGCATTCTAAAAAACCCCAAAGTTTTTTGGGGATTTGAAACTTCCTCCCACTGCCTGGCACTGGACCCACAGTGGTTGCCTTCTTGGTCGCCCTTTTTCTAGACAGCATCTCGGGAAAGTCCCAGCAAGAGATATTTAGCATTAGAGAAGTACCTACAGTTCGTGCTGAACTCAGCGGTCAGACCGGCCCAGTGTGGAGCTCAGAGACCTCACTGGTGCAGTTCCAAGCAATGGGACTGAAACTGACAGTCTGGTGGGCTGTACAGTCCTTGGCACCTGCTAAGAAGGCTTCTACTTGGGTACCTCTGACACCCAACCCCTGCATCCCACATATTAAAGCCCAGGGATGCCCCACCAGACCCACCTCACTGCGCCTGTTTGGCAGACTCCCTTGTATACGGGGACTTCTTTTGCTGAGTGACTGTCAGTCCGTCTGACTTTTTAGTTTAACCAGATGGCAAACATGGCCTCTGTGTGGTTGACTGTAAAAACAACTCTTTGAGGAAAAAAAAAAAAAAAGTGCCAACCCAGGAAGAGTGTCCTCCGTGGAAAGCTGGTGCAAAATTGGGAGGCCTGGTTGCCATGGCGATGGCCTTGGTGGTCTGCGGGTCTTGATGGGGCGACTCCAGGGCTCATCTTCTTGTGGGAACGTTAATTGACACTGGATGCCGAGAGCTGGTGAGTGAACAACCAGCAGCGACATCGACGGACCTTTGGTGGCTGTTGGGAAAAGGGGAAAACGTACCGCATTGGGCAGTCTCTGGCTTAACTGAGCATTTCTATGGACCGCAGTGCTTGGTGGAGGAAGATAAGAGTTGAGCCACAAAGGCGCTGAATTTTTAGAACTTTTGCAAAGTGATACGCCCAAGAACTTTCTGATGCCTCCTCTTTCCCAGTCTCTCACCTGCTCTCCCTTCTGGGAAAACGGACTCCTGAGTTTGTGCACCATGGGTGGCTGAATCACATTAGTTCATGCCCTGTCCCAAGGTATGACTAGGCCAGGTCAACCCGGTAACCACAAACTCAGTATTGCCCGAGGCTTCCTGTGCTGGGTTCTATGGTGGCTCCATAAGGAATTGGATATTTGGGTGTCCTTTGGTGCCCAAATAATCTGCTTATTACAGGCAAGGCTCCCAGCCTGTCCACATACCCTGTCCTCAGGAAGAGGCAGAATTGGACTTTGACAAAGATAGGATTTCTGGAAACCCACGTTGAAGACAGCCTAGATTCCTCCTGCAAACCATCCTCATCATTTTGCTGAAATCCTCTGTTCTCAGATCATTTTCTCCTCCAGAACAAAATTGCTGAAGCCCTGCTGCCAGCTTTATGGGCAACATATGGTGTCATGAGCAGAGCTATTTCTGAAGTAGCCACCCTGTGGATGGAAAGTCCAGGGACTGTGTCTGTCCTGGTCCCCGTGGTCTCCCCAGCACCGAACACAGGGCCTGGCTTCTCAAATACTCGTGATTGAAAGAATGAACATCTGGGTTCAGATTCCCACTTCAACTCTAACGAGTGGTGCAGCCTTGAACATACGATGAATATGTGATGTGTTTGCTTTGGATGTCAGTTTTCCCATCTAAAAGCCTCTCTGGAATGTTGGGAGGATGAAGTAATTCCGACATGTCAGGGGCTGTGTAAGTATGACCCGTCATTTTTGTGGTCACGAGGGTGGCTTCACCATGGGCAGCCTCGACTCTGGAGTTAGACCCGGGTTCAAAGCCTGGGTTCATTGCTTCCTCGCAGAGTGACTGTGGGAGAGGTTACTGACCTTCTTAGGCCGCATTTCTTACATGGTTGAACAGTGCCTGTCCTGCAGGAGTGCTCATGGTGGTGTGTCTTGCTTGATGATCCCCCGTGGAGTGTGCCCCTTCCTGGGTCCATTCACTCATTCTCTCATTTAGTTCTTCACCCGTGATCACAAGTACCTGCTACATGCGGCTCAGTGCTAGGGGCCGGCATGTAGGGTGAAGAAGGGGAGTGAACTTGACCTTCTGTGGGCGGTTCTCATGTTATCCCAGGGTTGGGGGAATGAGTTGCCTGGCGAGAGAGACCCTGCTCGGTCCCTCTAACCCAACCAAGGGAGAGAGACTCGGTTGGGGAGAGGTCATCCATCCTTCCTTTCCATAGTGGGTGAGAGGCCACTTAGCTGGGGACTTGGGAGGAAAGGCGGGCTGGAGGCAGCCCCAGGAGGCATCTGGGAGGCGGAGGTGGGTGAGTCACCGCCCTCCCTCAGGGACGTCTTGGGCAAGTCATCGGGCCCCTTTTGCCGGCAAGGAGGGAAACGTCCCTGCAGGAAAATCACCCCGTTTCCTCGGGATGTTGTCTCGGGATGTTTTTTCTGAGGCTGGTTTCCTTTACAAGCTGCAATTATGTTCCCTTCCCACGCACGTTCAGTAAGTGGCACTTTCCAGAGAAACTGCCGTGGTGCTCCTCTGGGCGACTGGGGCCCGGAGCAGGAGAAGGAGTGAAGGGAGCGAGCGCATCTACTGAGTCCCGTTCTCTGTCCTCGGGATGTTTCCAGACTTTGCACCTGATGGGGCTCTGTCACCGTTTCTTGTATTTCTTACCAGCCAAACCAAGCCCGGAATAGTGTTATCACTGAGGCTGGTGACAAACCCTTGAATCGCTAGAAACCAAACTCCTCCCCAAGATGGTGTTTTTCCCCTTTTTAGACTGACTGGTTGTTTGGGCTTGATATGTAATGGTGGAAACAGAAACCATTTGCTTCGAATGATAAGAGACCAACACTGTGACAAGAAGCCTTTGCCTTTGTAGCATTGTGGCAAGTGAGCTTAGCGTTATGCTTAGTTAGCATGCCCCGGACTGTAGGCCAGACACCATGCAGATGCTGATCCCCTCATCCAGTCCTTATCAGAACATAGCTAGTAAGAAACAGAGTAAGATTCAGCCCAGGATGAATTGTAAACCCAGGTTCCTTTAACTCTATGCCAGACTTGCCATTACTACATTCTCTTGGCAGAAGTTACCCCATCCCTCCTTCAAAAAAATATATAACAAATCCAGATTTTCACTGGAGAAAGGTTTAAACCTCCAGGGAAATTTGACTATAATCTGATCTGAGCGTGCGGAGTTTTTTATTTTGGTATCTAGTGTTTTCTTATTTTAGCACCCTGCACACCCCTAACCATGAAAACAACAATTGGTTAAAAAAAGTTTGTAGTTGATATTCTTAGAAAAACTGCACTCTGATGTCTTATAATTTTCCTGGTTCTCTGCTCTCTCCCTGGCCCCAAAATAAAACGTAATTGCCGATTGGATCAGCTGGCATCAAGTCACCGAAAGTTCAGGAGTTGCCAACTGCATATTTGTGGGCCGAGCACATCTGTGGGCCGCCCGAGTTTGGCTCAGATGCACGGGGCGGAGCTACGCCGTCAGCCATTAATTGGGCATAATTTCCCCTAAATGCTGGTGAGGCTGAGACAGCCTGTCCTTCTGCCTCGCCCACCTCCCGGTCCCCTCGTGGGTGCCCTGAAGTCTTCTTCACAGCGGCCCTCATGTGGTTCAGCCCCGGCCCGCTCGTGCTTTCTTTAGCATGAACACTCACTCTGATTATCATGTTCCTTGGGGAGGGCGGCATCGCCCGGGGCTGGCCGTGAACTCATAAGCGCCGAGTCTGGGAGTCTGCCCAGGACACGGCGGGGCCGGTGGTCTGCAGGCTTTCCCTGGGGAGCTCTGAGGGCTGATCAAGGTTCAGGGGATCTAGAAGTATTCTGGGTGAACGGTTTGAGAAGAAAAAGTCAGGAAGGAAAAGAGACTCCAGGGATACTGAGCCGTATTCTGAGGCCCCACTGACGTCTCTGTTATTTGATGGCCCCTTATTGGTCCGGTCTTCAGTGTGTTAAATAATCTACCTCTCCAGGAGGAAGGATGGAGAGAACGGGGGTGAGAAGGCAGGGAGGAGGAAAGAAGGAGGGGAAAGGAAGACAAACTACAGTTCACTGAATATTTGATACATGTCAGTGACCGTTCTGTGTATGCACCTAAATCTCGGGGAGTTCTCCCAACAGCCCCAGGGGGAAGATCTCCAGTAACCCCATTTCCAGCTAAGTTAACTGAGACCTGGGTTGAGCCATGGCCCACCCAGCTCCTGACTGGAAGAGTCAGGCCTGTCTCTCCCGGCTAGGGTGCGAGGCGAGGAGGGGCTGGCACTTGACCTATACCAGGGGAAGAAGGGAGAGGCTTCCCTGGGCGCCTCCCTCCCAGTGACTCAGCTGGGACCTGGGCTTGCTTGGGACCAGACGTGAAATTCCCGAAGGCAGAGGCTGAGGCCTATGGGACAGTGTGGGATGTGTTCTCCGCGTCCAGCGAGCAATCACAGACTTTGTCTTGTTTGCTGATTCTGCTCTTTGGCTCTGTCAGGGAGAGACCTGTGTCCTTTGGTGGAAGCCAGGCTAAGCGGGAACCCCCAAGAGCCCCGCGGTGGGATCACACATCTGAACTTGGACGTTGGGGTCGTTGATTCAGTTGAATGTTTCGGATGGATGGAAGTTTGGCATAGTCCAATGGTGGTGGAGGAAGGGACTCTCCCGTCCCAACCTAAACAGCTTTCTTCAGCAGGGTTTGCCAACGTGTGTCTCTTCCTCAGGCGTCAGTAGAATCAGCAGAGGAAAAAGTCGAGGGGAAGGGAGACATCCTGGTCGGAGAACCCGGGAAGTGGTGTGTGGTGGGAGCTTTGAGCAAAGTTAGGAGAGAGTCAGAAGTGAGTGCTGAATCCTTCGAGGTGCTGCGGCTGCGGGGCTTTGACAGAAGAGGTGGCCTTGGAGTCGGGCCTGTGAAGGCACATCAGCTTCCCTGTGAGAGAGAAGAGGGAACAGCTTCACCGAAGCCATAGCAGGGACCGTCCATCGCCCATTCAGAGAACCGGGAGGCATTTATGGCTGGGAAGTGAGGGTGATGTGGGGGTGGAGATGGGACAGAGAGGC